GTTATATTCACAATGACAAGGACCATTTCCTCTGCTGTCTCCAGTGTTTTTATACACTCAGCCTCTATAAATCATGTGAGGCGGAAACAAGGCACCCCCCCAAAAATGCTCCTCCCCCTATTGTCTTTCCAGGACTGTTAAGGGGTATTTTGGGGTGGATTCAGCTATAGGCTTCAACCTACATTTAAGGAGGAGGTTCATTTTAAAAATGGAATTTTGAAGGCCCCTTTGTCCGTAGGGTCTATTGACGTTTCTTGATAAAAATGAAAATCTGGCAGTTTGGTTTCATGTTATTTCAAGCTGTAGCACCTCATCCAGCAGCAACTCTTCACAGCATTTTTTGTTTGCAGCATGAAAACGGCCAATAAAACCGTTAGTTCCACCGACGCACTAATCCTTCCAATGTCAATACAGAGGTTTCCTACACGTAGGGTGACCAGACATTATCGGTTCCATCCCAATATTAAGGGCTTTGTCTTATATAGGCAACTATACCCCACCCTGGAAAAAAAAAAGGCCCAATTTTTCACATTTGCTATCTGGTCATCCGACCTACACTTGCACAGGAATAGGCACCCAACAAGCCAATCCAAGGTCTACAGGAAGAGTGAATTCTAACGGTTCTGAAGTTATATCATCTTGAAAATAGCACACTCAGTGAAGGAGTCTCATTCCCTATATGAGACATGATAGGTTATTAAAAGAAAATAGGGACAGTCAAGGCAATAGAATAATGCTTTCAACCTGCCTCATGCACAGTAGCTGCATTGCATAGTCATTACACATTAGCTCTATCAGAGTTGTCAGTGGACATGCTGTCAATGCTGCAGGGCTAACAACAGACATATCCTTTTACACTATTTTCATGGTGTAGATATTTTTCACACTATTCCCTACAATAGACTGGAAACTGACAGAACAAACCAATAGGTCTTTTCCCTCTCTGACTTCTGTAATACGTAGCCATAAGTATCACAGCACAAATGATAGGAGATTATTCACTTTAAGATCCACGGCCATCAATGCCTAGACAAAAAGAGGGTGAGCAGTGTCAGCTGCATAAGGGGCTGATTTTTAGGAATGCAAGTGCTGGTCTCCTGCGGAGAGGAACTCATTGGTCACTTTTGGACTCAAGCATTCAGCCCCTCTGAAAACTCAAGCCATTCGTTTGTGTTCAGAGCAGCAGCACCTGTGTAGCAGCACTGGTTGGCTATCCCCTTAAGGGTCCTCTTGCTCCACCAAAGAGAGAAAGAGTTTGCCAGTGTCAAACCCCCCATTGAGGCCAATGGTGCAGCACCTACCTGTGTGTGATTATACCAACACTTAAGCAGGAGCGTCACTATTAGAGCTACTCAAAAATGGGCTAAAGTTTTCATGGAAAATTTTCAAATTTTCCCAACTATTTCTAGTAACTATAGTCCTGTGAATACTCCTTTATAGTCAATACATGCACGTCTCTCTCTCTCTTAGGTACTTATGTGGCCCCCCCCATCACTGTAGTAGTGGAGTGCCTCATAATCTTTTATCAGAGGGGTAGCCGTGTTAGTCTGAATCTGTAAAAAGCAACAGAGGGTCCTATGGCACCTTTAAGACTAACAGAAGTATTGGGAGCATAAGCTTTCGTGGGTAAGAACCTCAAGCTCCCAATACTTCTGGTAGTCTTTTAACATTTATCTTCAGAACACCCCTGTTGTCTCCATTTTATAGATAGAGAGATGAGGTATAGAGAGGCTAAGGCCCACTTCCAGAAAGGGACTTAGGTATTGCAATGTTTAGAATCATGTCTAACTTTTAATGCCTGAGGGAAGGGAAGGGGCGGGCGGGGGGTGGAGTCACAGGAACAACTTTGTGATCCACACAGCCTGAGTTGGGGGCCTAGGTGAGCCGCCTAAGCCAAGCAATGGGAGGTGCCGAGGTGAGCAGTGTGCTGTAAGCCCTGCCCCTCTCACAAAGGAAGTTACCTAAATCCGAGCAGCAGGGAGGTGCCTAGTTCTGCCAGCTATTCACAGATGGGAACCCCTCTCGTGGAGTCTGAGGCACCCCAGGTGTTTCTTTGAGAATGAGTTAGGCACCTGCCTCCCCGCCCACAAAGCAGCTGGAGGAGAAGATGGTGTCACCCACCTTATAACTTTTAGCCCAGTGGTTAAAGCATCCCATTTAAATCCTCTCCCCGAGTCAGACAGCAGTGAGAATTGAACCTGGGTCTCCCAGGAGAGTGCTCTCACCACTGGGGTAAAAGTTACATCCTGGCTGGTGCCAACATGTCTGGCTCTGAGCAGGCCTACTGGATTAAGCCTGCACATGAGTTAGGCAGGCAAACACTTATCTTCCCCAAGTTCATGGATCACTCTGGGGCTTAGGTGGGAGATGAAACAGCACATGCCCAAAGGCAGAAACAGAGGCAGAGGGAACTTCTACCTTGAAAGCTTAGGTGCTTAAATAGGGTGACCAGATATCCCATTTTTAAAGGGACCATCCCATTTTTTGGAACTTTCTTATATAGGCGCTTATTACCCCCCCGCCCCCATCCCATTTTTTCACAGTTGCTATCTGGTTACCCTATGCCTAAAGCATTCACTGAGAGGTTTTTTACATCAAGCCTAAAACCATAATGACTCGCTTGCCAAACATCACACAGGAAGTCTGACTCAAAGCAGGGAATTGAAGACAGTCCTCCACGTGCAAGGCTAGTAGTGCTCTAACCTCTGAGCCAGCCTTCCTCGCCAAGGCCCCTTTACACTGCCAGAGTGGCACAGAGCAGCCTGAGCGTAAAGGAGAATCAGACACTCGAGTTATTGATATTTAACTTAGTTAATCCCAAGTATTTAAATAGCTAACAAACTCCCTGGTAATTAAATAAGGATTAGAATGTAAATGTCTGTCAGCTAGGAACCAAGGTGTTGGTGGAGGTTGGGAAGAGAGATTTACCACTAAAAAGCAAACAGACCCTGCTTTGCTCAGCCCAGCAGTTCTTACTATGAGCTTGAAATGAATATTTTTAGTTACAGCTGCATTGCTGACCCCTCTTGCATCCATTACTTGTGTGGCCCTACCAGTATGAGAAGCTAACTTCTGTGGGCCAGATTCACTCCCACTGTAGCACTACTAGAACCCTCCCTATATAAGGGCCTGATCCAAAGTATGTTGTATTATATTATTAATTCAGTATTTATTTGTCTTGTAACAGCACCAGTCAAGGACCAGGACCCCCTCATGCTAGAGGCTTTACAGACACAGAACAAAAGTCCTTAAAGTCTTACTTACCAACCTCACTAGGGAACAACACCTATTGATCTCAAGTAGTTCCATTCCCAACCCTAACTCCTAGCTTTCATAGGTTTTTTTATAGCACCCCCATCAGCCTGATGCAGCTGTAGATTGTGAAGTAGATGCTCTGAAGCTGCATATACCCCAGCTTGCCCAGGTGACACCTTTTTTCCAGACCAGGCAGTCCCATACACTTTCAGAGCTGCACTGATTTTAGGTTTCTTGAGGTAAGGAAAATCACAGCTATTTTCTGCAGATCCCATAATCGCTTCCTCCTGCAGACTTTCTTCTGCTTCAGCATATTCTGCCAGGGTCCAGGCTGGCACGAATTAAGCTCAAAGCACACAGATAGCTAGATAAACGTCCCAGGCTGCTTACAAAGAACTTCATTGTTTTTTACCAAATGTTATTTTTAACATGAGCTTTTTTCTTTGTTACGCTAATATTAAGAAAGGTTGGAAACTAACTAGAGCTCAGTGTTGGAAGCGATGTCTCTTCTGCGAGATGGCTATCAGCAGCAAGCAGCCAGGAAAAGGCCATTTATAATTAAAAACTTTATTTTCGAAAGCATTTCAGTTTCTTCATGGTCGATGGGCTCCTGACCATTCTGAATCTGCAGAAAGCTATGCTGCATAATCTGGGAGGATGAGTTTCTCAGTTCTACAAACTTCTTATTGCCTTTGCCTGTCTTCCTTATAGTTTATATAACACAGACACAGGCTCTAGCACTGTTTATAGGTTTTGTTTAAAAAACAGGAATGTACCTTTCAGCTGCTCAGAGACAGTGGGCCCACGAAAGGGGAGAAATAAACAGTGATCTTGAATTAAAACCAGTGTGATACTGTTGAGTTCAGGGGAACTGATCCTAGTTTGCACAAGTGTAAGTGAAGACAGAAGCTAGCTAGCTTAGGATTTTAGACTGCCACTCATCACCATAGTATCTGAGTGTCTTCCATGTAAAATCAGTAACAATTGTGGAGTGCCCAGCAGATTTCATGGAGTCTCTAGCACTTCTCCTTTTCTGGGGTAATATCTCAGTTTGTGATAGAATCAGACCCCATATTTTTCTACATTTGGAAAGCTCAGCTTGCCAAGTACTTAGTAGTCTGCCTGAGGTTGATGTTGTTGTATTGCTGCTCACATTAGTATATGGGCTAGGACAATTCTGTTTGGGGGTCCTTGTGAGATGGCTTTTTGGGATGATTTTTTGTTGTTGAAGGTTTGTATATAGTGCTACTTAGCATTTCACTACAGGGTTTTTATATCTGAAAACCAGCAAGTGTTTTGCAAATGTTAATTATGGCCCTGCTCCTGCAAACTTTTCCATGCAAGAGGACCCTGGTGCCTGCTTAGAACCCCACTGAAATCAAGGGGGCTCAGCATGGGTATAAGAGTCCCCCCAGGCAGCACAGTTCTTCAGGATCAGGACTTCATTAAGTCTCACAACACCCCTTTGAGGTAGGCCAGTATCACGGCATCCATCTTACATAGAATGCAGAGGAAGTGAACTACAGAAAAACACCCCAGCCACCCCTATGTAGGAAGGGTGATACTTGGCACAATGTCCTAGCTCTGCGATCCAGGCACAACTTGGCACCAGGATGCTGATTTTTGCACATTATAAAGCCCAGCTACCAGTGGTGGAGAAGGCTTGGGCCCATCCCTAGCTACCCCATGTGATGCAGTATGTGTGTGTGTGTGCGCATTCCCCAAGACACCGTAGCAGGGGGCTGGAGGCCTCTCACCTGCTCCGAATCAAAGGCGAGGGGCGGCCCCGCCCGTGCACACACAGCTGCAGGAGACTGAACGCAGCTTAACGCATCAACCAATCGGCGGCCTGAGCGGTGGAGCCGGGCGGGGGGCGCTGCTTTGGCTGGTGGCCAATTGCCGCGGCCCCTGGGCTGAGCCGCCTCCTCTCTCCCCTCCCCCGATGTAGCTAGAGCAGCCGCGGCCAGCGAGCGAAGCGGCCGCCGCGCAGAGCTGCGTTGGTTGCGGGCGGGTTCGGCTGGGTGCGTGCGGGGCGAGTCCCGGAGTCGCGGCTGCAGCGCGCAGGAGGCGGCGGCTGGGACTCGGGTCCCCCCCCGGCCCCGTGGCGTGGAGCCTCCGATGGAGACGTTCCCCCCCGGCAAGCTGGAGCAGCACCAGCCCGTGGAGTTCCTGCAGGGCGCCCGCTACGGTGCCAAGAGCCACCCCGCCTACGGGAACGCGTTCAACTCGTGGAATGACTATCTGGGGCTGGCCACGCTGATCACCAAGGCCGTGGGCGAGGAGAAGGGCTTCGGGACCCAGCCCTCCTCCGTGGTGGTGGCCGCCACCGTGCAGCCGGCTCCGGAGGAGGACGAGGAGGACGACGAGGAGGAGGAAGACGCGGGGACCCCCTATTTCGAAGGCGCGTTGCACTTGCACGACTTCGACCTGTGCAGCCACCACCACGGCGAGAGCTTCCTGGAGGAGCGGTTCGCCGACTTCAGCCCCTTCTCCGGCCGCGCCAGCCCCGCCGCGCTGGTCTTTAACTGCTCCCCGGCTCACCTGCAGCGGGACCGCTCCCCTCACGCGTGGGGCGGCGGGCTGGGCGACGGGCGGCTCCAAGCGCCCCAGAAGCCGGGCTCCCGGCTGCTCAAGCCGGAGCTGCAGGTCTGCGTCTTCTGCAGGAATAACAAAGAAGCCGTCGCCCTCTACACCACGCACATCCTCAAGGGACCCGACGGCCGGGTCTTGTGCCCCGTGCTGCGGAGATACACGTGCCCCCTCTGCGGGGCCAGTGGGGACAATGCCCACACCATCAAGTACTGCCCCCTCTCCAAAATGCAGGCCAGTGCCGCCAAGCAGCAGCTCCGAAACGCCAGGACCGCCTTGGGCAAGAAACTCCGCTAGGGGGCTGCAGCCTCCTGGCCTCGGGACTGTTTTGTTGGCGATGGATTTGTTGGGTGGTTCGGTTTTTTCCCCTTTAGACTGAGGCCGCTTCGGTAGAAAGTGGCCCGACAGCAATTTTTGTGTGGCCCACAAAAAAAAGACCTTCAGTTTTTTTTTAAAAGTAGTGTCTTACAGCGGATTGCATTTTGTTCTCTTTAACACATTAATATATTCAACGTGGGAGACTAGAATGTAAAAAGCTCCTTGGCTTATGTACTATAATGATGATAGTTTCTAGTTTGTATACTTAGCATCCAGGGAAGCTGGGCTCTGAAGTTAACTCTATATAATTATAAATATGCAGTTTAGATGCACTGTATTTGTTTATTGTATAATATATATATCTAATTTTTAAAAGGGGGATAAGATGAAATTGAATGGTAGGGCGCTCCCCTGGGGACGCTTATGTTGGTTTATTGGAGAGGAGGCATTTTAAAAAAATATTTTACAGAATCTCTGAAGAAAAGGCCTCTGTACTGCTAAGCAAATGAATTTCTGTTTTTGCAGTATCCTAGCCAAATGAAGAATTGATGTTTTTAAATTTTATGTTTTAAGGGTGAGCTCGACAGGGTAGGGAGGGGAAATTATGCTGTATTTGGCTGCTCGTGGTTGTGTTTGCACTGTCCTCTAACAAAACAACGTTAGTTGTAAGTAGGTAGTATGAATTAGTTACTGATGTTTGTGGGGATTTTGAGATCAGGAATGATCATATGACACTCTTTAGTGTTGGGGGAGCTCCCCTTTGTGTTCACAAGTTCTTTTGTATTGATCTAGGGTTCTTGTTTTACTGTTTCTTCCCCCCCCCTTCCATTAGTCTAGAAATTAACTTTTATTCCTCTAAATTCCCTTTCCCTCCCACCCAAAAATAAACACTGTCGAGATTGTAAAGCCCCATACTGGCCACAGGTGGCAATGGTGCTGTTTAAATTTGAATTTTTGTTTTATAGAGTGAAGTAAAGGCATCACAAATTTGAGTTAAGCCTGTTCTCTCTTCTTTTCCCCCGTATGTGCCCCTAGTCCCACTACAAGGTGGTAATGTACAGCAAGCGGCAAGGTATTTTAAACAATGGACAACCATGTTTTCTAGGTTGTTTTGTTACCCTGTAGCTATTTATAGATCATCACTCAACACTCTTGGGTTTGATGGACCATTTTATAGTAGCTGCAATGCATTGCATCCCTGTCTAATGCATAATTAGTGGGAAGAAGTTCTTGTTGCCTTCCTCTGACTTGTAATGTGGATTCTAATAGCTACCATGCTCTTCTACTGCGAAGAAAACAAAGCGCCTTTTAATGTGGATGGAGGAAAGAGCCCTAGTTTTTGTTTTTTAATGGAAAAGCTGCTTGAGGGCTCCTGCAAGAAATCATTTATAAAACAAATGAGAATACGCCCCCTGCTGCTTTCTCTGTGCAAGACTTCTTTGAAACTACCTCAGGGCTGTGCTGAGGTACTGTTTACAATGGAGGCCTCAGCTAGAAAATAGTTGCTCTCTACTACAGAGCAAGGCCAAACTGTAGTCTGACTCATGTACTGTAGTCTTAATCACATTGTGTAACAGGTTTGGACAACATGATCCAAAAGGTTAAAGTTTAAATTTCCATCCTGAGGTAGATTTTTATCTCAGCATAGCAAATTTAGATTCCACCAAGCAAAGCGTTTTTCCCCTTCACTACTTACAATGTAAAAGAATGGGGGAAAAGACTTACTAATGTTCCATGCAGTGAATCCCTCTTTTTTTAGTAATATACTGTGCACACTTCATTTCTCTTATATAAGTAGACAGTTGATGAAGCTCTGGAGTATTGCAGAGCATAACTGCATTTAAATTAATACCATGTGTATGTGGCTAATATAACAGTTGCAACTGGACTGCATATAAGATTATTTTAAGGCTGCATATCTTGTAAGAAAAAATGCTATCAGGACAGTTATGTAAAAATATTTACATTCTGAAGTACTCGGTACATATGAACAATTTTCTAACTTCCTTAAAAGCTAGGAAGTTCTAACAGTGATCAAGCTACTACTTGTTTCTAATGGGAGAGTAGTGTAGTCTAATTCTCCGCTTAATTCCAAAGCTAGTGTTGGGTTTGTTTTATTAAAGGGAGACTCTCAGTAAGTATAAAACTTAAAATCAATACAACTTATTTAACCATATGCTGTTTATACTTTCCTCACTCTGGATGTCCATTTGTGTACTATGTTTTAGCTCATAGTTACATCCCTATTTACCTATCTCAAAGCTGTACTTCTAGACCCTCCAAACTGCTTGTTTTCTGTGGGATTTCACAGGTGATCTTTGTAAGAGCACCTCCCCAGTAGAACTTACTTCTGAGTATTTGCATTCATATGTAGGTGAGAATTTAATAAACTGACTTGTAATGCAAAAACTTTACTTACAATAGCAAATATGACCAGGGGAATGTCCCCTCTGAGGGGGGACTACATGCTAGTCTAAATTGATAGACCAGTTCAGTGTACAATTTGCCAATGGCAGTTTTACTGGACTATCTGGAGTATGTCCACTTAAATTTGGGTATTACCTAGCATGTATTTCATGTGGAAAGTGTCAGTACACTTAATGTACACAGCAAGTCTAGATAAACGACATCCACTGCTAGAATTTAAGCTGCTGTCTTTATTCTATAGGAAGAATGAATTCTCATGTCTAAGTAAGGACACATCCAGTTCTCAATGTTCTTCCTACCTACATGCTCAATGAATGTTGTTGTAACTTAACAGTATTTCCTTCAGCAATGTTTTATCTATCAAGGTTTGTGCAAGTTACCCACTGCACTGGTGTAAACAAAGGGAGCAAAAAGACCATATGAAAAGCGTTCTTGGTTTTACACATCCCACATTCAGAGAATTTAGGACAGTGCTGTCACATGTGTAGGCAGAGGTGCCTGCACGGTGCTAGCATGATATGGTGGGGTATAGAGAACACACTACTTTCTGTGTAACAGAATTGTTAGCATGACTGGAATCTTTCAAGGAAACAAAATAACCTCCCTCCTTAGTGGAGCTGTTGCTTCACAAATTCCTCTCTTTCTAAGAGGAAAAATCAGTTGACTATGACCTAACCACCCTTAGAGGTATATGCCAGTTCTTGACACTTTGCTCATCCTACAACACACAATCCTGGCAGTTGAAGGGGCCAGAGTTGCTTGAAGAACCCACCGCATGTACTAGCTTGCCATAGTAATTAAGAAGCTGCCAGGTGAGATTAAACTATAGTTTAATAAATTGACCCCCGAAGAGTTAAGCTCCAACAAACCAACTCTGGAAAGATCAGTTAAGATATGTTAGGGTCAAAGGTTTACAACTAGGATATTTCCTAGTATGAGCACTAACACTACTTTTTATAAAAAAGTGTACTTCATCCTTTGTAGAATGACTCCCTTTAAAACATTTTATTAAAAAAAAGCTGTGGTTCAGTTTAAGACTAAACTTCTAAAAATCTAACTTAGTTGTCTTTCCAAAAAGGTATTTTTTTTCCACTTTGGCCACTCATAGTATTTCCAAGCACCATCCTTGTGTCACTAATGAGGCTGGGAAACCTTTTGCAAAAAGTTTATTCCACCAGATTGTCTAGATACACCACATCCAATGCTAGAATCCAAGCTGCAGTCTCTGTTCTAGAGGAAGACTGAATTCTCATATCTGAGAACTGGGTCTCTCCTTACTGTTCTTACAACCCTGATGCCCATGAATGTTGTTGTAACTTATCAGTATTTCCTTCAGCAAGTGGTTTTATTTAGATTTCTTAAATTACCTGAATAAATAGTAATCTAAACCCTAGGAATCACAGGAGGGTTAAGCAAAGAGCTTGTCTTTTAAGAATTGCTTCCTTTATCTTCTAGAAGTAATGTGTAGGGTACAGAAGCAATTTTGACACACAACCTAGTAAATGGAACTGCATTTAAAATGACAATCTCAAGATGGCTCATGTCAGAGCGATTCATACAAGATGAATAGTAAGCTAGACTGACAGCCATAATACCACAGTAACATTTTACAGGGATGCTTGTACAGCCAAGTATCTGTGAAGTATATTACAGCAACATGACTCAGCCCTGTAGTAGCATTGCATTATTGAAGTGTAAGATTCAGATTAAGCTTAAATTTTAGCTTTTGTTTTAAAAAAATTATGTGAACTTTTATCTTTTTAATGCAATGGTAAATCTTGTCAAGATGTAGGGGAATGTTTTACAGTATCTGCAACCAGAGCATTCCATTACTACAA